TTGATACAACACCTATAGGACGAATCATAAATCGCTTTGCTAAAGATGTTGATTCTGTTGATTCATCACTACCATCTTCATTCTCATCATCATTTGGAACATTAACAAGTGTATTAATCACGATAATTATACTTATATACGGCTCATGGTTTGCAATATTTGCCTTAATACCGCTTGCTATTGTTTTTGCTTTTATTCAGGTATTTCTGAGACGATATTTTTATAATAACTAATAAATTTATATATTTTATCTAGCGTGTTTATGTGGCATCTTCACGACAACTTCGACGTCTTGATTCAACAACACGTAGTCCTGTATATTCAAATTTTGGTGAAACAGTTCAAGGACTTACTTCAATCCGAGCTTATAATGCTCAACAACGTTTTATTGATTTATCAGATGGATTATTGGATAGAAATCAAGCATGTTATTTTGCTAGTTGTGTTTCTAATAGGTTAGTTATAAACTATAAGAACTATAAAAACATCTACTTTTCTTTTTATTAATAGATGGCTTGCTGTACGTCTTGAAACTATTGCAAATCTATTAACATTAGTTACATCTCTATTTGCTGTTCTTATGCGTGATCGTCTTACAGCAGGTATTGCTGGTTTAACAATAACTTATGCTATGCAAATAACTCAATCACTTAATTGGCTTGTTCGTATGACAAGTGATATTGAAACAAATATTGTTAGTGTTGAACGTATTGATGAATATGCTAAATTACAATCAGAAGCTCCATGGGAAATACCTGAAAAAAAACCACCAACAGGTTGGCCGACAACTGGAGAAATTCAGTATGTGATTCATTATATTTTTATTAGAACTATAAAAACTGATTTGATTTTTAGACTTAAGAATTTATCTACACGATATCGAGAAAATTTAGAATTAGTACTTAAAGATCTTACAGTTAATATTCAACCAGGAGAAAAAGTAAAAAAAAAGTTCATAGAGATTGTGAATAAAATAATAATAATACGAATTATATTTAGATTGGTATTATCGGTCGTACTGGTAGTGGAAAAAGTAGTTTATGTATTGCATTATTTCGTATTATTGAACCGGCTAATGGCGAAATCATTATCGATAATATTGATATTCGTCAACTTGGTTTACATGATGTTCGATCAAAAATTACCATCATTCCACAAGTAAATTTATTATGAATTAAAATAAAAAATATATTCTTTGTTTTTTTGTAAGGATGCAGTTATTTTTGCTGGAACAGTCAGATTCAATGTTGATCCGTTTGGTCATTACAGTGATATTGAAATTTGGTCAGCATTAGAATTAGTACATATGAAAGAACGTATTACTGCTATGGCAGGTGGTCTTTCAGATTTATTAACTGAGGGTGGAGAAAATTTAAGGTAATTTCTCATCCTTAGTTATATATATAAGGAAGAAGAAATATTTTTCTAATTGTTTAGTGCTGGTGAAAGACAATTATTATGTATGGCACGAGCTATATTAAGAAAGAGTAAAATTTTTGTACTTGATGAAGCTACAGCTGGTAAATAAAAATTTACCTATTGTCAAAATAGTATTCTCATATTGTGATTATTGTTTAGCTATTGATATGGAAACAGATCGATTAATTCAAATGACAATTCGATCAGCATTCAAAGATGCAACTGTTTTAACAATTGCGCATCGTCTTCATACAATTTTAGATAGTACAAGGTATGTTTCAAAATTTAATTACAAGATAAATAAAAAAAATTGATGACATTTTTCTCTAGAATACTTGTTTTATCCAATGGTCGTTTACAAGAATTTGATGAACCACAACGTTTAGCATCTAATCCAAAATCTGCATTTGCTAAATTGTTACGTGATGCTAATATTCAATTACCTACAACGATAACGACAACTGCAAGCTCAAGCTAATCTGAAAAAGTAGTTATGAATGAAATTTTTCACTATTAACCCTCACCGTTAGATTAATTTTTTAATGTTGTATCCCGTTTTATAAGGTTCTTTTTGTTTTTTTTGTCCAATAACTTTTGTGTGATATTGTGCACGGTTCAGTATTTGCTTTTTATGCCAAAAATCTTTTATTATTTTAAATGGAATACTTTCTCTTTTGTTTTATCTACTAATAAATGTCACGCTTTAATGCTTAATCTATATTTAAAAAAACAACTCCACAAGTTCTGAAATGAATTCAGATCTTTGATCAATATCACTCGTTTTTTTACTATATTAAACATGTAACACAGATAAAAACCGGATAATAATAAATTATATATTAATGAAATAGCGTAATTGATATAGGAGAGACTAGAAAAAATAATCCTAGCTTGATGAAAATCTATAGATTTATATCTCATGAATATTCATATTTATTTTAACAGTTTATTATATATAGTACCGGAAAGAAAAGTTAGATTTCATTGAATATATCAAGCGCAAAAGTAAAAAGAACATTAAGATATAGTTTATAATAATATATCGACGATCTTGATCTACGAGAAATAACTATTCAATTTAATTATCATTGTCATGATAGTAAACAATTTTTATATATAACTATTAATCATATTCAATAAACATGAATGACACAGAAAATATTGACATAATTTAGCTCTTAAATATGTTTATCTTTTTCGAAGAATGTTAAATTAAAATTCTCTTTTCTTTTGAAAGAAGATAACATTTTGTTATTTTTCTTCCAAATGACATCATATCCTTTTCAAACAATAACATGAAAGAAAAGAAATAAAATGTATATACCCATATTTTCTTATCTAAACGAACGTTTATCATCAACATCATCATACACAATAGAAATTCATATAATCATTCAAAGAAAATGTTGCGTCTCGATGTGGATGTTTCATCAAAATATGCAAATCGATCCTATCGTCGTTTGAAATATATAATTAGTATTCTTTCAATTTTAGTAGGCTTATTATGTCTTACTGGTTTTATATGGACATCAATTGAAGGTAGTATTAATTCGAAATTAATAGATGAATGTAAAAATGATACACAAACAACAATACTTTGTTTTATACGTTTGATTACTACGAATGCTCTTCGAACAGAATGGGATAAATATATCATGGTAACACTTCTATTTACTTATGCAAGTGTATTTTTACATATTATTGTTGAATCAACTCGAACAAATGTTTCTGGTCTTCTTGGACAAATGATAATTCAAACAATATTTATTATAGTTGGTATTGGAGTTTGTTTTCCAATATTATTTATTCCATCATTTCTTTATTTTTATAAATCAAAAAATAATTTACATAAATCACCTGTACCAATTGATATCGTATGTATTGGAATTATTTATATTATTTGTGTTATTATAGTTCCAACATATTTACTATATTTTTTTTTCATCACATGAATTAATTGCTTCGATTATGTCAATTATACTTCTTATATCTCCGTTGGGTTTTGCTCTTATTTCACTACCATTTCGATTATTATCAGGAGTTACTCAACGTTGTTGGGTTATTAATAGTCATCGATTAATTGTTCATTGTCAAATAACTCTATTTATATTATCAGCTCCACTTTTTTTCATCACACTTGTCTCTCTTATCATGCATGGATCATTTGATTCAATTAAACAAAGTTATGTGACAGAAAATACTAATGAGATTAATCCCATTACATTTATATGGTCTATTGATTATATATCATTATTTATTAGTCTTATTTTATTTATTATTTCAAATGAATATTTATTTCATGATAATATTAATCGTAATCGATCATCAAAAATCAAACAAATTATTGGTTATATTAGTTTTTCTATTATCTTTATTATAACACCATGTTTAGCATTTCCATTATATATTGCTTGGCAAGAATATCATTATCTTATACCAACATAATTTAATAATATGACTTCTTTTTTTTTTTTTCATTATAAAAAAGAAAAAACTATTAAAGATAATCTTCATTAACTAATGATATTTAAGGTTGATTAATTATTGTTAATATCTTCTGGAGAATAAATTTGAGATAGAAAAAAAAAAGACGATAATGTATATCATGAAATAGTCGGATGAAAAAGAATTATATTCTATTTGAAAGAAAGAAAAGAAAATGAAGGGAAAGGTGGATGTTATTATTTATAATACTATTGCTAAATCTCTTTTCACACCCACATTTTTACTCTCTGTATTCGATTGCACCTCGTTCTTACTGTCACTACATACTCTTCTTATTCTTTTATATCTTTTTTTTTGTGCTACGAAAAAATAAATGAGATAGATCACTGAATGATTCTTTGAGAATTGCCGCCGTCATCATTCGTACATCGTATTTATCATTCTCGGCGTGTATAACTCTCTTATGCTCGGTTGAGATTAAACTAACAAATATCTGAGTTATTCCTAAGATTCACGAAAAGCAAATGTATTTAATAGAAGACGAAGAAGAAGGAGAAGAAAAATATAATAAGAAGAAGGCTATGATATGAAAGAGAGAATATGAGTGTTTATGTTGTGCTATTACTCATATGAAATTGTCTCATGACGGACACAATTGTAGTGAAAGAGCAATGAGAAAGAAATAGGGAACACACACGCAAACATACATTGATTTAATGAAAAAAAAGACGACGTCGTCGACAACAACAACACCATCATCATCATCGTAGTAGCTATACATTGAAATGAAATGAAGAAGAATCATTATTCAATATATGATCTCTTTATAATGAATGCATACAAAATATACAACTTGTTGTCCATGATTTGATATGATCATTCTTTCATTTTTATTATTAAACTAAAAAAGAAAGTAATTCTTCTTTTTTTTATACTTCATTCATTGGGAATAAAATTGATGGTGACAAGTATAATTGTTTCTTGGGTAATTCAATAAATCTAATAATTATATATGTAAGTATATGAAAGAAATAGTGATTCAATTCTCAATTTACTCATTTTTATGTATGCATATATATATATAAATATGTTTATTTCTAGTGACAACTTCTTCTTAATATTTTCTATTTTAATCAATGGCTGGTGCTTGTGGACGTTCGAATCGTAGTCAATCAAAAGCAATGATATTTGCACCTGGAGTAAGTTTTAGCAAAAAAAAAAAAGTTTTAGTTTTTGATCATTATTATCTCGTTTATGATATTTAACTCAGTTGATTTTATTTGAATATTAGCTGTATATCATTCCAGTCGAATAAGTAAAATCAAGATAGTATATTCGCTTGAATAAATCTTTTTTTTATTATATTTTGCATGTTAGTGTATTCTTGAGAAGAAGAAAAAAA